AATAACTTTTGCCGACCGGCTTGTCAGGCGGCGGCTCAAGCATTTAATTTTTGCCGGTAGAGGAGGCGGTAGTTTTGAGTTTGTTTTTTGTTGCCTTTAGCTTGTTTGATTAATTGTTCTAATTCGGCAAAAGAATAGGTACTCCTTAACTTTTTGCTTCTCGTTCCTTTTACTTTTCAATTAAACTTTGAGCGGGGCATGGCCAATATTTATATCAGATTTATATCATCTTCATAATAACTAATTTTTTAGACAATCCCTACCCCTTTCTGTATGAAAAGTAAAAGTATATAAAATTTAATTAAGGAGCATGGCCGTTCCTTACTTGTCCTGGTTTCAATACTGGGGCAAGGAGTTATTTTTCTTTTAATGGCTTTTTCTTAGTGCAGAATAGTGATTAAAAGATTGCTAATTTATATCTTTCTTATTTCTGTGCCTTTTTATGTCATATTAGAAATTTTAATTTACATATTTTATACATATTTATATTTAAAAAATTTTTAGTTTATCACACTGCTTTCTCCTTGTTTAGGAAATAAGCCAACATAACGGTAATAATAAAAAAGTCGCTTCTTCTCCTTGTCAACCAGAGTAGAAAAATCACGGCGATAATTAGTGAATCATTCATTTAAACAGTCAGTACAGATTATTTGATAATCGTTTCATTTTTTTCCACCGGTTCAGTATTTTACTTCGTTGATTTTGCTTCATTCTTGATCCTTAACACTTCAGCGTCGAATAAAAGGTTGTTGGCATTTATCGCATTTAAATTCGCTTTGGTTATACTTTTTTGTCATATACTTTTTTGTCATATACTTTTTTGTCATATACTTGCTAAGTTATTATGTAAGCAATATGTATAAAGTATAAAATTATTTATTATAATTATTATTTTAGACAAGAATAAACCTATTATTAAGCAAAAATCATGTCCCGTGGAAGAACTTACCCTCGCTGCTTACTATGTGGTGAATTATTAAATAAGGAAGGATATCGTGATGGCTCGATAGCCCAGTCAATGGCGGAGTCCGATCCTTATCACCCAGATTGTAAAGCCAAGCGGGGTTGAAAAAAATGTCAAAAATGTGAGCAATGAGGGGATTTTAGTTCGTCCGGATTATGTTCTAATTGTTATTGAGACAGCAAAAAGGAGGAGATAAAAGAAGAAAGCCAGGAATTTTACGAAAAGGCTAAAAAATTAGCCGAGGAGGAAAGCAAAGCCAATTTAGCCCGAAAAATTAATGAGGCTTTTTCTTGCCAGGGTTGCGGAAAGTTTATTGAATTAACTGATGAGGCTTATACTATGAAGGGTAAGTCGGGATATTATTGTCAAAATTGTATTGTTAGTGAAAACAAAGATAAAATTAAGAAGCAGACACCACAAATTACTTGTTCCTTATGTAAGAAAAGCATTGCTAGTGATTATTATTTAGTAGGAGAGCAACCGGTTTGTTTGTCTTGCCAACCACGGGCGAAATTAACTCTTCTAACGGCTAGTAAAATTCTCCAAGGTCAGGTTGTAGATGTTGAGAGCCTGGATCTACCTGCCGAGGATAAAATTAATTTGTCAGCCGCCCAGCAAATAATGCAAGGTCAGCCAGTAGATATTGATAATTTAAGTATTGAAGAGAATGACAAAAATTTTTTAAAAGAATTACAAGCCTCAGTTAATAAGTCAGGTGATAATCTTCCGGTCCCAAAACCAAATTCTCCCCAACCGCAGTCTCCTAATAAGTCTAATAAGTTATCTTCCAAAGATTGGGAAGAAATAATGGCAGGGCTTTTTATTATCGGTATTATTGCTCTTATTATTTTCCTTATTTATCGCTTTGTTAGTAAAAGAAATAAGAATATAAATTAAAGAGTAATAATTTTTCTTACTTTCCCTCCTATAAAAAAATAATATAAAAATGATCATCACCTTCGCCAACAAACAAACCCAAAGACTCTGACAATGACAAAAAAACCCTAAATTTGGCGACATAGCTAACCGAGCCTTACGCAAACTAGAATTATTAGATGCGGTCCCTAACTTACAAGAATTAAGAAAAATTCCGGGCTTAGATCTCCATCCACTCAAAGACGACCGCAAGGGCCAGCACTCAATAAAAATTAATGATCAATGAAGGATCTGCTTTATTTGAGGCCAAGATAATAATGCTTATGAGGTAGAAATAACCGATTATCATTAAAATTAAATTATAATAATTATGGCTAATTATCAAAAAATTAAACCTATTCATCCGGGAGAAATTATTAGGGAGGAATTTATGTTGCCTCTACATCTAACTAGTGAAAAACTGGCCCAAGATATAAAACTTGCTCCCGGGGAGGTAGAAGAAGTTATCCAAGAAAAAAAATCTCTCAACATGGACTTAATTTGCCGTTTAAGTGCTTATTTTGATTTGCCACTAACATTTTGGTGAAATCTCCAAAAGCGTTATGAATTAGGACTGAGTATTTGGCAGGAGGAATTAAAACAAAAGCAAAAAGAGATTAGGCCTTATAAAGAACTTTATAATCGTGTCTAAACCCCCTTTTCTATCTTCTATACTACTATCAGCATTCTATCAGTTAATATTAAATCAACATTCTATCTGCTATATAAAAACAATAACAAATTGCCATCTATCAAATAAACTTATATCAGATATCTATCTGCTTTTTGCCCAACCAACCAAAAAAAGGCCCCAAAATCTTATAATTAAATGAGCGGCAGAGCCGCGAGGTATTAAAGCATACGCAGAAAAAAAATATTTTGGA